CTGGCAGGCGGGCGGTCACCCCGGAAAGACGCAGGGCGCCCCGGTGCGTGGTGCGCGGGCCACAGTGAGGGCGCTGTGCGTGGCAGCCGGGAGGACGCGCGGCTTCCGTGTGGAGGGAATCCGTGGCAGAAGTAGCCTGTATTCGTCCTGCGGTATTTAGTCTAGCTGTGTTGCAAAGATCATCAGTACACCTGAAAACAGTCTGTCGTGTGCTACTGTCTTCTCTGTGCTTTGGTATTTTGCATTTTATTTCCCTTAGTACTCATACTTACTAGCATTTTCTCCCCAGTAAACACAAGTCATACCTTTATGTTTGTGATACATACACTTGTAGAAATTAAGGGTTTTGGGGTGTTTTTTTGGTACCCGGGATCAACTCAGGACCTTGAGCTTGCTAGGCAGGCACTGTGCCACTGAGCCACATCCCCAGCCCAAAAATGTAAGTTCTGTTTCATTAACTTTGAAAGGGTTTGGGGTCAGGCATGTAGCTCAGTGTCACCATGCCTTCCTGGTAAGTGCAAGGTCCTGAGTTCAATTCCTGGTACAAAAAAATGGATTTGTATCTTTTGTATGTTTGTTTTATGATCTATAAGATGTCCTAAGCTGAGCCATGGTGGTTTCCCCCATTATTTCATTATAAAACTTTTCAAACATACATGAAAGTGGAAAGAATTTTACAGTAGATATCCATGAGCTGACCAACTAGATTATGTAACATTTTATACTGTTTTTACTTACGTTATCTCTCTTTTGTGGGAGATCTATCCACTGGTCCATCTTCCTTGTTTTATTTTTGTTTTGGTACAGGGTAATCAAACTCAGGACCTTTGGCTGTGAGGCAGGTGGTGGTACCACTGAGCTAAATCCCAGTCCCCTTGTTTTTTTTTTTTTAATGCATCTCAAAATAATAGTACACTTTACCCCTAAACATTTCAGCATATTATCACGGGTAGCTTGTTAAAATGTACTTTACATAAACCCTGTTGCTTTAGCACGACTCTGTTATTTCAAAGTGATATATAAATTTGATCACCGGTAACATACCAAAACCAAACAAAAAACAATAAAACAAATCAAAGTGATTTTTTTTTTTAAAGCCAGATGTGGTGATGCATGCTTGTGATTTCAGTAGTTGGGAGGCTGAGGCAAGAGGATCACCACGAATTCCAGGCCAGCTTGGACTACATAGTGGGTTCAAGTCCAGCTGGAATACATACCAAGACCCTGTCTCCATGAATAAATGAATGAATGTTATTTTTTTAAATACAGATTTACAGATTCTTCTTCCTTTCAGAATATTATTCTAAAATCCTTAAAGAAAATAAAGCTTTTTTTTTGTTTGGTTGGTTGGTTGGGGTTTTTTTTGTGGGTTTTTTTGTTTGTTTGTTTTGGTTTTGGTTTTGGTTTTGGTTTTTTTTTTTTTGGTATCAAGGATCGAACTCAGGCCCTTACGCTTGAGGGGCAGGCAGCCGAACCACTGATCTAGTTTTTATGTATATGATCCCCAGCCCGCTAGTTTTTATGTATATGATAAGCAAAGGTATTTTATCATTGATTTCTATTGTGGAATTTGACTTCGGCTTGAACGTGAATTATGTGTTCTTAGGGATCTCTGAGCTACTGGAAACAGAACAGAGCATTATTCTTTCATTTGTGGTCGTCATGTGTCTCCATGAAGATTCTCTTTTCAGCTCTCGCTCAGCGCTCTCCTGTGTGCTGGGAACAAAAGCATGCGTGGAGGATTACACTGAGTAACCGTCTCCTCTCCGCTCCACGGCAGTGGTTACCTGTGTTGCCTTCTCACGGACAGGAAGGCGTGATGGCTTCACTTGTGCGGAGCTGGCAGGAACTGGGAGTTTTTTGCTTTTCAAACAAGAGAAACAACTGAAACAAATGTTTGTCTAAAGATACTTAGCTTTACTGCCAGGTTCTAGTATTTATTAATGTTTCCCAGATATTGCAGATCTTTGTATTGGTATTATATTTAGCGAAAGGTCTGGTTTTGTTTTGAAGTTTGCTTTTCATTTTTGCGATGTGATGTTTAGCTGTGGGTCTTTTTATAGGCCAGCTTTTTTTATAGGAGTGATAGAATATGAATTAGACCTTGGTAGTGCACAGCTGCACCTGAGTACTGAACACTGTGTATGCAGTAGACAGTAGTGCTCTGTCATTCGATCCGAAAACCTATGCGTTTTATGACGTGGTGAGGAACCCTTGATCTGATCCTAAGTACATTATGGAGCACTAGCACTGCAGCCCATCCTGTTTCCTTCTGAGAGCAGGGACACAGAGAAGCCTTATGCTGTTCCAGTTATCTGTACTGTGTTACGTGTTGCAAATGAGAATTGATCCAACCTTAAGCCATTGTGTTCTTCATTCTCAGAGAGCAAAGCAAAAGGCCTTCAATGGATAATAGACGCCACCATAGCTTATCCCCAAGGTGAGCTGTTAGATATTCAAACCTGGATCCTTGGATACAGGAAGCCAACAGTCACGCATGTACATTACAGGTGGGTGTTCTGTATTCGTACTTACATGAGCCCAGCAGCCCTCCTCAGGACAGTGTGTGTTTTAATACTTAATTTTAGTCTGACAGTGAAAATAGTTGGCATGGTTTCTGTTTACAGGGAATGAAAATCATTCTCATGCAGAATTTTTAGAGTGAAGGTATCTTTTGCAGTAGTTGTCAATGAAAAATAAAGATCTCTAAAAATGACATTCTAGAGGCACCATGATTATTTGATTGCCTGACACTTTACATAAAAGTAACTGAAGGGCAAATGTCAAAGAGAAATACACGCTCACTGGAGGTAAGTAGATGTAAATTAATAGAAATGGAATTTGCTTTGATAATTGTAAATCCACATAAGAATGATTAGATTGTTAAGTTAGAAATTTTTTGTATTGTAATATCCCTGTCTTGCCTAAACAACAGCAGAAATATTTATTGAGTATCTGTTCTATGCTAGGTGCTTGAGATTTTTTTTAATGTAAACTTTTGGGGGGAGAATTTCATGTAAATGTGAATATATTTATATCCAAACATGGCACTGATTAAGCCTATTAGATTTGATCACATTGTAAGCCATTTACTCTGTTCCTAGTAAAAAAACTTTAAACCATAACAACTAAGAAATGTGAGGAATTGGTCCAATTTCTCATTTTTTGTATTTAAGCAATAGCTTATAAATAATTTTAAAAAATGAATGTAGTCATAAGTGATCTTACAAATTGAAGAATTAGTCAATTTTTGGCAAAATTACTTTAACAGGAACAAAAATAAGACTCTTAAATTCACTTGAAGCAGAGGTTCTTTGTTTTTTGAGACAGGGTCTCACTATGTAGTTGAGGCTGACCCGGAACTCACTGTGTAGCCCAGGCTGGTCTCGAACTCATCGCGATCCTCCGAAGCGAGGTTCTTAACCATGGAGCTCATGGACAGACGTGAAGAGAATTGTTTTTATTCAAATCTAGCTGCAAATTTTTGTGTATGTTATGTTTTTTACAGAGAAGTTCATCGCATTCACTCAAAATACGCATGATAAGAAAAAATTAAGAACTTCTAACTTTAAGAAAAGAACTGGAGCCGGGGATTTAGCTCAGCGGTTCTGCTGCCTGCCTCACAAGTGCAAGGTCCTGAGTTCAATCCTGGGTACAAAAAAAAGAACTAACTTAGAGATCGGAAACACATTATTAAGAAGAAATGGTCAGTTTGATTCAGAAAAGTACTTCTATTCATTAAAATTAAGGTTTGCAGAAATATATTTCTTTATAGAAACTTTACTCACTGAGCTAAATCCCTGGCTATCAAAACTTTTATTACCAAACATAATAACAAAGAAAAATTCCTTGGGTTATTAGTGGAGATTAAGTTATGATTTAGAATCATAATCCAAAATACTCAGTAAAATACACATTATGCCTGGTCATTCATAGGCACTCACGTGTATCCATCCCCTAGGAGTCCCGGACATGGAGCAGATACACTTTCCTTTCCTTCCAGAAATTTACAGTAGAGCATTGTCTGGCCAGTGTTAGGGAAGATGAAGGACCTGCGTTCAGGAGGGAAAGGCGGAGCATGAGAGTGCAGAGTGACCTGGCCCAAGAGCTGGGAAGGACCATGGGCCACACCCCAGGCAGCACTCAGGGACAGGCTGTGCGGACCATGGACTGCCCCTCGGGCACCTCGGCAGGGGCCAGGACGCCGTGGGGACAGGGAAGGCAAGCGAGGTCTTTGCTCTGACTTCGTTTCATTATATTCTTATAGTTTTAAACAAGGATGTTTCCAACAACATTAGAAATAATGTGTGTGTGTATGTGTGTGCGAGTAATACAAATAACGAGTCAGATCCCTTTCACTCTTAATGAGAGGAGTTGGCAGCAAAACTGAATAGCACTGGCTGCTTCAGGTGGGAAATGCTCTCACAAGGGTAGGAAAAGATTATCTGGAAACTGTAAAGCTTTTGGAAAACAGTTTTTGTTTACTTTTGCTTACTGTTACCTTATTTATCTTTACCTATAGGCAAATTGTCAAAACTACTTATGAATGAATTTTTTTCCCTGCAGTTAATCACTGTTAATTACTGTGTTATTCTTAAGAACCATGACCAACTTTTAAAATCTAAAACAGCCCTCACACGTAGGGAATTGAATTGACATGATCACTACTATGATGTAGATAGAAAGGTTAGTACTATTGCTAGGTTTCTCAGTCTAACCTTGAAGAATATGCTGTATGAGAGTCACTAAGTAAATATTCCTGTCTGTTCAGCCTGAGATCCCACTTAAGTAGGTCATGTATTTTAATTTCTCCATTAAAAACAGTGGAAAGTTGTCGAGAACTAAACTTTGTAAATCCTAGATCACTCATGCTGTTTAAAAGGCAGTCCTTTTAGATCAGATGAAAGCATCTTTGGAGGGTGGTAATTAAGTCAAGCACAATTCTAAGAGAAACTCCTAGTTGAGAGTACAAACAGGCTAGGAAGTTTAGCAGTTCCTGAGCATTGAGTCTGTAGTAGTAAGTTTCTGTGTATTTGATGGGCTTGGGTTTATTTTAGGTAAGTTTCATGGTAGCAATGACTTCCTGTCCGGGGAGGGCAGCTTGGTGCCTGCTGGGAGCCTCAGACCCACGTGGGGTCCCTGTGTTCCTCCTGTCAGGGTTCACCCAGGAAGCAGTACCGCTGGTATCATTTATTTCACATTCAGGAGGGGTTGGAGCATTTTAAATTTCCATAATGCCTTCTTTTCTCTTCTTATAAGTTATAGTCAGAGTTACAGAATAAGTTCCACTGCCTGCTCCATACCTCAGTGAAACAAACAATGATACACGTCGTGAAGGTCCCTGAGTAAAAATGACATTTTATCTGCAGGTGGTCTCTCTTAATAAGTTCTTTTAAACACGTTTGGTTTTTTAAGGCAAGAGAAAGAATACTGCATCTAGATTAACAGCCTGTGCAAAAGAATGTTTTTGCAGACTCTAGATTCCCATACTGGTGCTTAGGAAAAAGCACAGTAATGCAATCTCTTCTCTGGACTGCTTCGAAATGAACCGTTCTTCCTGTAGCAGTTTACACATGAATTCACTTCTTGCTTCTTTGGCCTCTGTTGACTTTCAGGATTTCTGGGAGAGTTGAACCCTGAACATATGTGTTTTATATAAAATACAAATATTAACATAGATGAGAGTAAACACTTGTGGCAGAATTACAGACTAGATCCTATTTTACAAATAGTTGGTGGTGTTATCTTTAAACATTTGAACTCTAGGGAGGTGTGTGGAGCTTAGTCTTTGGAAAACTTGGGCGAATGGGGATTGAGCCCTGGGCCCCGTGGCGAAGAACCCGCTGTGCGCAGGGCTCCTCAGCACCCGTCACAGACTTTGGTGCTCAGAGGTTGCCCCGACTTCCGTGAAGACGTTGTGAGCACCGACTGCTGTTCTGGGGAAGGAGTGTTTTAAACTGCAAACCGCCTTACAGACATGAAGTTTTATTATGTACGGTATGTAAGTATCTAGCAGTTATTGATAATGCAGTCTTTATCATTTAGCATTCATATATTGGATCTCAACTACTTAGAAAAGATGTCTTTTCTTATTCCTTCCTAGTGTTACTTATATTTTATTATTTGACTTACATCTACATTATTGAATTTTTTAAAAAATAAAGCTTTTGTTAAAAAAACTACGGTTTAACCCTGGGAAATATTTGAGGGTAACCCCCCCCTTTTCTCGTCAGCCGAGAAAGCTGCTTATTTCTATTGAATGTGTAGTGAGCACAGCACCGTCCAATGGTTAACAGGGAGAGTAAGCGAGACCGGACTCGTTGCAGGGAGGGAGCGTTTGTGGTATGATGTAATTGTCTGCTTCGCTCCAGATTAGGACTGTGGGTTGGAGATGACGACCCTCTTGTGCAGAAGTAGCATGTTCTTCACTTTTAAAATCTTGAAAAATATAACCCAGATGTAGTGGCATAGGTTATTAGAAGCAGAGCTGCTGCTTTTGTGTTTCATCTCACTAGGGCATTGGGTGCTTTGGAGAGAGGCATTCACTTCGGGTCTTTGGGTAAGATTTTCAGTATGGGGTGGATTAATTCAGAAAATGGATACTCATGATTTTAAGACAGAAATGCTCACTAGCAAGAGTGTACAGATACTGATATTTTGTCATATTTGCTTCAGGGCTTTTTAATTAACAAAAGAAGTTATATACCATTTAATCCAGTCAGATTTGCAAAAATTAGATGAAGACTTTGACATACATGTAGGAAAAGCACAGACTTTCTTACGATTTAATGGTTCCCTATCTTAATTTGGAGAGCATTATTAAAATTACATCTACAGTTGCCGGGGATTTAGCTCAGCAGTGCTGCTGCCTACCTCACAAGTGCAAGGTCCTGAGTTTGACCCCTGGTACCAAAAAATTAATAAATAAAAATAAAATAAAATTACATCTACATAGTGAGAGAGACTGTCAAAAGGATGAGGGAAAAACCTGTTATGGGAAAAATTACCAATACTCAAAAGCAGTATAATAAGATTTAGTAATTATATGTCTAGACCAATATATATCTTATAATAAAATATGTATATAATTATATGCCTAAATATGTGTATATATGTATGTGTGTGTACATATATATGATATGTAATTTTGGTTTTCCCTCCTTCTTTTACCTTTATTCCACAAAATAACAAAATTTGAAGACTACAATAAAAGTTGTAGTGGCTATAATTTTAGAAATAGTTATTTTTTCCAAAACGTTTTTTCCCAGAAAATTTCAGACCTATAAATAGAACCCCGTGTGCCCTTAACACCCCTTCAGCAATTATCAACTTGTGGTTAATATTATTTTTTTCTGTGTTATTTCCTAGACTTTAATAGATTCTCTTGAAGCATTTATCATTTTATATATGAAAATTTCATGGTATATTCTCTAAAATGAAAAAGCATAAAAGACTTGGAAAGGGGTATTGTGTTCGTAGAGGGCAAGACTCAAACTTATAAAGATAATAT